TTGTATTTGTCTTGGATAGTTGTATGTTCTTTCTCTATAATATCTAGGCTGGCTTCAATCCCTGAGATTCAATCTTCGGCATGGTCTAACCTACTGTCAAGACTTTTTACTTTGTTTTTTATTTCCTTTTCTTCTAATTGGTCAGCTTTGATGGCTTCAAATTCTTTGTTGGAGCTTTGTTTTAGATCTTGTTTGGACTTCTTCCTTAATTTGGTGTTCAGTGTTTATTCTCCAATCCCTTAGTTGATTGGTTATGGTTTCCTTTGACTCCCTTTCCTTCTGATGGGCTCCATTCAGCATTCCCTTTGTGGTCTCCCTGGATTCATTCAGCTATCTGTTTATGGATTCCATGAATGCCTCTATTGATCTTTGTCTAGTCTCATTCTGCTCACACAATTCCTGTATTACTCTTTGATTAGCTTCCTCACACTCAAGCCATTCCTGTAACTTCTCTTTGACTGTTCTCAGCCTGCTCACGCAATTCCTGTATTACTCTGACTGTTCTCAGCCTGCTCATGAAATTCCTGTATTAATCTTTGATTAGCTTCCTCATGCTCACCAGATTCCTGTATTAATTTTTGGTTAGCCTCATCATGCTTGTGAAATTTCTGTATTTATCTTTGGTTAGCCCTCTCTTGCTCCCTATCATGCTCACACTGAGTCCTTTGCAGACTTTCAATCTTTTCATTCACCATGTTTGCCAGTAGTGTCTGTAGAGCTTTTTGGGAACTCTCCTCTAGATTATTCATTAGCTGTTCTGTCACCTGATTATCATGAGTGGGAGTTGAGATACCTGGACTTGCCATTTTTTGTGTGTGTTTCTCTGGCTTGTTCTGCCCATTTGGCATGAAAGTAACACCAATTTTGTGCTATTTTAAGGCAAGCATCAACCAGAGTCCTGTAGTGGCGCAGTCAAAATGGCTTCAGATACAATCTAGTTAACCAGATACAGTCTATTCAACATCAAACAACTCTGGACTAATGGGCTAAGAATATCAAAGATGGATTCAGCAAACCAGAAATTAATAGGTTTAAGGAGAATTGTGGGGGAAAATAGAATTAGAGTGATGTGAAGAGGTAAAAGAAGAGTAAATTTAACCAAGTCCTAATCTCTGAGAGGAAAGGGATAGAACAGAATGAAAGGAAAGAGATAAACAAGAAAAAATGAAAAAACAAAAACTTAAATTTAAAAAATGAAACACTTAAAAATTATGTAAGCATGAATGAATAATACTGATAGAAGAAAAGGATAGGATGAGATGAGGAGATAGATAAAAAGGAAAAATGAAAAAATAGAAAATAAAAAGTTTAAAAAATGGAATACTTAAAAATTATAGGTATAAAGAAATAATAATACTATTAAAGAAGTTAAGCCTAAGAGGTTGTGAATTGAGTAATCAATTTCTGAATTAAGTATGTACACAAGAAGGATAAGGTCTAGTACTTGACAATGGGTATATATCTGGGGATGAGCAGAACAGCAATTAAGTCATGCAAAAAAAAAAAAAGGACCAAAAAGTTTAAATGAGATTTTAAAAAGCCAAAAAACAAACACACACTCTCTCTCTTTCTCTCTCTCTCTCTCTCACACACACATACCCCTAAAGTAAAAATTATGAAAGAAAAATATAGAAGACAATTTTTTAAAAAGTTAAAAAAACAATTAGGTAGAAAAATGAGTTATTTGATTTTTTTTTTTTGGGGGGGGAGATCTTGTATCTCCCCTGTGTCCATAACCAGTCTCTTAGTTGAGTCTCTGGTTTGCTTGTGGTGTTTGGTTTTCCTGTGGCTTCATTGGTTTAAGTCAGTTTGTTTGAGCAGGCAGAAAAATGCTCTGCCTTACCCAGAATTTTGTTATCCTCTTCCCAGGCTAGTTCAGTGGGAAGGAGATCTGCTTTGAGTTTCACAAAAGAGAAGATGGCTGTTTCCTCTAGATTGGAGTTGCTGTGATGTATCTAGGTTCTGAGTAGGGTTGAGGCCTATCAGCAATCAGTAGCTTTTCTCCTGAGACACTCACAGAGCCCAGCCTGGAGCCATTCTCAGGGTTTATGTTTACTGAGTTTCAATTGTTTGTCTTTTACCCCTCCTGCTGTCTAGGCTGCAGTGGGGAGGGGCAGCCTCTGGCTCAGTTTACCCAGGGAAGAAAGTCACTCCTCCAGGGGCAGAGATTCTCTGCCTGGGAAGAATGACTTTTCCCTGGCTAGCTGGGAAGAATGACTTTTCCCTGGCTAGAGCTGAGCCTGGCAGGTCAGGTTAGGTTCCTGTGACCTGCTGAATGGCTCCTATTATTTTCTTCCAAGGTCTGAGGTGGAGCTAGCTGCTGGAGCTGGGCCTTTGTCAGTATCAAAGATGGAGTTCTTCTCCGGTGGTGGGGGAGGGGCTACCTTCCCACCACTGCATGGTGTGAAGGAGTGAGGATGTGTTGGGGTGTACTCACTCCAGCCTCTTGGTTTCTGGGCCATCCCTGGTCTGCAATCAGCAGGATAAAGATATCTGCTCCATGTCAGTTCTTACTGGTGGTGAGTAGAATCCGCTCGCACACTGCATCTGGTGCCTTTGTCCCAGGGTCTCTCTTGCTATGCTGCCACCTGCGCCATGGACACCAGCAAGTGCTCAGATCTGTCTCTTTGACCAAGCTGCCTGGTGTTTTCCTCTCTGGCAAAATTCTCTGTACCATGATGGCACATTTGGTGTGATTCTCTAGCCTAGGACTGTTCACTGGAACACTAAAACTGCTTTTTATGCGAGAGCTTGTTTAGCCTCTAGCTTCTCCTCTGCCATCTTCCTCCGAATCAAGATCAAGTTTTGAAGCCATGCTGGGCAAGAAAGTCTGGGAAATTCTTATCTCTAACCACCGAAAAGCAGGCAGTAGAGCTATGGCTCAAGTGGTAGACTGCCAGCCTGGAGGGAGAAAAGCTAAGGGATAATGTGTGCAGTCCCTGAGTTCAAGCCCCAGTATCAACACAAAAATAAATTAAATTAAATTGAAAAATAAATAAGTGGATAAAAAAGTACCTGACTCTAAAGGTCCTTGAAATCAAAACAGTTTTTCATAAAAACATTCATGTTTATGTTATTAGACAAGTGTCCTCATTTGTAATTTCAAATAACATTATGTTTTTTTGTTTTTTGCTTCTTTTGTGCAGGTCCTGGGACTTGAACTCAAAGCCTGGGCACTATCCGTTAGCTTCTTTTTGCTCAAGGCTCTACCACTTGAGCCACTGCTCCACTCTTTTTGGTGGTTAATTGGAGATAAGAGTCTAACAGACTTTCCTGCCCAGGCTGGCTTTAAACCAAGTTTCTCAAATCTTTGCCTCCCAAATAACTAGAATTACAGTATGAGCCACTGGCACCCACTAAAACCTATCTATTCTAAAGAAAACATAGAATGATAATAATAATTAAGAGAACATCTATCAGTAAGGAAAAATTTGAACATGTTTTAAATACTGAAAGGACAAATCACACTTCAATTTGGATTTAAGGAAACACAATAATTCTAGGCTAATTTAATTATTTAAATGAGTCTATTTTAATATATAAGTAGGTACTATTATCTAATGTACATAATATATCTACTGTGCATCAAATATACCATCTTTTATAAAAGTTTACATCAGAAACAGAGCTATATAACAAAAGTAAAATATTTGAGGTACAATGAAGCAAGAATGGGTAAATATTAAAAAATATATATTCTCACAGAATCAGCATGCTATATGAAAACTTCATCACAATACCAGGAACTATATCATAAAACAATGTGTAAATATATATTGAAATCATTTTACCCTAAGACTAAGGTCAAATTAAACTTGAGAAATTCATTTAGCCATTTTGATTGTTACTTAATAAATATGCTTGAGACTGCTTAAATGAGCAGGTCTTACCTGTTGTCCACAGCCTCATAACACATAAAACTGCCTGAATACAAGTTAGCCTCTTCTACGTGCCTGGTACAACTTCTCCCAATTAATTTATACTGTCAGAGTATGCAAACTGCTTTTAAACAAATGGCAGAGCCAAGCGCCGGTGGCTCACTCTTGTAATCCTAGCTTCTCATGAGGCTGAGATCTTAGGATTGTGGTTCAAAATCAGCCCAGACAGGAAAGCCTATGAAATTCTTATCTCCAATTAACCACCAAAAGCTGAATGTGAAGCTGTGGTTGAAAATGGTAGAGGATTAGCCTTGAGCACTAAAGCTCAGGGACAGTGCCCAGGCCCTGAGTTCAAGCCTCAGGACCAGCAACACACACACAGACACAGACACACACACAGACACACAGACACACAGACACACAGACACACACACACACACACACACACACACACAAGAAAACACCACCAATAACAACAAAATCCCCATATATGGCAGCAGCCAGGAGTAGCTGTGGGGGAGGAAGTGGGATGTGTCCAGTTTTCTCTCTGTCATCTCACTTTAGTGATCCATATAAGCCCAGTCTTACAAGTTTCCCACAAGCTGTTCCCCAGACTCCTCTGCACCCAAATAAAGTATGGAGACATCATTACCATCACAACCCTATTTGGAAAAATTCAGGATGAAAGGAGCTTGAATTCCAGGCTTTGATTATGTAAGTCTCTTCTTCAATATCTAGTAATTAAGGTTTCCTTGGAAACAGAATATCCCATAATTTTTTGACTTTTCACCGCTGGTGTCTTCTGCTCATAGTGGGTTGCCATATTTAACATGGCTGAGCTTCTCTCACTTTTCCTGAATGTAGGGTGGAATGTAGGTTTGCATGCTCCTTCTGACTTAACTTACTTTAAATAAGACACAGAAATCTTAACTCTTGTATCAATTTTTTTAATTTAATTTTATTTTATTTGTGAACATACTGTACAGAGGGGTTACAATTGCATGGGCAGGATATCTTGTATCAATTTTTATTGTTCATTCCACTCTAGTTAACTAACTAATCTTTTAGAGCCAAGCATACCACCCCTAAAATCTTTCTCATGTATTATTTCTGTTTCTTTAGAATTAAGAGAAAAATTTTACCACTAATACCGAAGTGGCTTCATGAAGATATTCCTAATCTGGAAAACAGCAATGTTGTGAAAATGCTACAGGTAAGCAAACACCAGCAAATAAAACAGTACTCAGGGGTTGGGAATGTGGCTTAATGGTAGAATGCTGGCTTAGCAGGCATGAAGCCCTGGGTTTGATTCCTTAGTACCACATAAGGAGAAAAAGCCAGAAGTGGTGCTGTGGCTAGCCTTGAGCACAGAGAGGTCAGGGACAGTGCCTGAGCCCTGCATTTAAGCCCCAGAACTGGCAAAGAGAGAGAGAGAGAGAAAAGAAAAGAAAAGAAAACTACTCAGGAGACGTAAGACAGGAGGATTACAAGTTCAAGGCCATCCTGGTCCACATATTAAGGCCCTGTATCGAAAAGAAAAAGACTGATTAGCAATTGGTACCAAGAATGCATGAAGTTTAATAATGATGAAAACAGAAACATTATCTATCATCTATCTATCTATCTATCTATCTATCTATCTATCTATCTATCTATCTATCTATCTATCTATCTACCTACCTACCTACCTACCTACCTACCTACCTACCTACCTATCTTTTTCTATATATTTATATAATTAGCTGGCTATAGCTTGGAGTTATTTGGTCTGGGAGGCTAGCCATCAGCTGAAAGGCCTCAAGTCCAATTATGCACAGAAAAGTCAACAGGTTAAGCCTTTCACCCTTCTGACATCACAGACATGTCTGAATTATGCACAGTCGTCCTCCGTCCTCCTCTAGAGTCTCAGCACAAAGTGTGTATCACAATCTCACTCTCAAAATGTAAACAACATAGAAATCTCTCCCCCTTTTTCTAGTTATGCCACAAAGTATTTTCTGTAGTAAGGATCTGTAATATTAACAAAAAATTTCAGGGCTGGAGCATGGCTAACGTGGTAGTTCCTCCTCCCCACCATCCCCCTATATGAGTTTGATTCTCATTACTGTCACTGAGAAAAGAAAAGAAAATTCCATGTATTCTAAATCTCAGCAATTAAAAGGCTGTGAAATTATACTCAAGTTAATAATGTAAGATTCTTCTTTCTCTTGAAAACTTTTGAACCAGGAAATGTGCTTATTTTTATTGTTCTTTTCCTTCAGTCTCCTCTTGGGGGAATTTAATAAAGATTTTGGAAGCCAGTAAATTAACAAAAGACAAAAGGTGGAAATCATTTGGGAAGATAAACAATGTGAGAAAAGGGAGGGGGAAAGGAAAGTGGGGGAGAAAATTCCAGTGTTTTTTCTATTATCCAATTGGATTCTTGAGATAGCTTTTGTAAAATGAAACAATGTCCTGTTTTTCTTTCCCCTTAGGAAAAAAGTGAATGTGTGAATAATTATGCCAGTGAACAAATCCTTTATGTTGATCCTGTGATTACAGAGATTAGAGAAATCTTTCTTCCAGACCACAAGTGCACAGATGACAAGAAGGAAAGGGAGACAGGAACTCTGGAGAAAAGAGACATCCTGCAACCCCGGCCTCTAGTCACAAACCCTACAGTTGTGTATATTCCTGATCTAAACACTGGATACAAACCCCAGGGTTCACTTTTTGCCCATGGGGGAAACCATCTCAGCAACAGTGATGAAGTAGATTCTTCAGTCCACAAACCACCAGTTGAGTCCTTAGACCTGGAAAAGAATGGCAAGTCAAAAGAGTATCTTCCCTTTACCTTTCCAGTCTCAACTATGACTCCCCTAAGCAACACACTAATTCTGGAAGAACTGAGCCTCCTTTTCAATCAAGGTGATTGCCTTACTCCTGACATGCAAGACTCAACAGAGGGAGAAGCCAGCAGGTTTTTGGAAAAGGACTCACCCAGTGAAACTGTTCCAGAACAGACCCTCCTGCCTGATGAATTTGTCTCCTGTTTAGGCATCATGAATGAGGAGCCGCCATCCATCAGCTCTTATTTTCCACAAAATATTTTGGAAAGGCACTTCAATATGATGTCACTTCTGAAAAAATAGAGCTGTGTAGTCACTATCAACCATAGACCATCACTGCCAGGCATTCAGAAGTTGGATTATCCCTCATTAAAAATGTAATTCTGTCTAGGAAGTCCCAAGGTAGAACATGCTTCTGGAGATACACACATGATTGTGTGTGCGCACGCGCGCGCGGCATTATTAAAGATCCCAATGGAATTTTGGTTTTGGGAGGGTTATCAGTCTTGAGGCTTGAACTCTGGACCTGGGCACTGTCATTGAACTTTTTTACTTAAGACTAGCACACTACCACTTGAGCCACAGCTCCACTTCAGTCTTTCTGATAGTTAATTTGAGATAAGAGTCTTACAAACATTCCTGCCTGAGCTGGCTTCAAATTGTTATCCTCAGGTCTCAACCTCCCTGAATAACTCCAATGTATTTTTAAAACATCAGCCATTTCCTCTGAATATTTCCTTCCTTGCAAGGAACAGAACAGCTGTCTGCATAAAGAAAAGACAAATATGACAAAATTGATGGTAGTAAAATACTTAAAAAAATCAAAACATTAATATTTGGCCAGGTGCCAGAAGCACCTCTAAATCATAGCTTCCAGGAGGCTAAAATCTGAGGGTCACAGTTTGAAGCTAGACCAGGAAGTAAAGACCTGGAGACTCCTATCTCCAATTAAGCAGCTAAAATCTGGAAGAAGAGATGTGGCTCAAGTAACAGCTTTGAGGGAAAAAGCTAAGCAAGAGAGTGAGGCCCTGAGTTTAAGTCCCATTACCAACACACACACACATACACACACACACACACACACACACACACACACACACACACACACACAGAGCATTAATATATGCTTGCAAAAGGAAAGGCAAGATTAATTTACATTTTATCACTTATTGAATACTTTTTTGTAAATAAAATGGAGTCCATAATAATAGAATAAATAAAATATAGACACAATAGAGCATTTAAAACATACATAAATCAGGTAATGAAGATTTGGTCTTTCTTCAGTGTGTTTCAAACTAAAAATGTATAAAACAAAATGTGGTATGGAGCTTGGAAGTTACTTTCTCCTATGGCAGTGTTGGTATATTACTTACACTGTGCAGAATCCATTAGTAGGTCTCAACAAGATACAACTTGTGTTTATCTTAAATCAATTATATACTGGGTATATCAGAAAAGTATTGTTAAAATCTGAAATGGTAAGCCCTTGACACATTTGCCATTGCCCTATGCCCCACATCTCCTCCAGTCATCATGACTTGATCTCTGTATACCTTGTTACTATTGAACTCATCCTCTCACACCATTCTGCTCCAAATGGATCACTACTATTCACAGTGAAAAACAAACAAACAAACAGAGCCGAGCGCCTGTGGCTCACGTCTGTAATCCTAGCTACTCAGAAGGCTGAGATCTGAGGATCGCGGTTCAAACCCAGCCTGGGCTGGAAAGTCCATGAGACTCTTATCTCCAATAAACCACTAGAAAACCAGAAGTGGCACTGTGGCTCAGCAGTAGAACTCTCGTCTTGAGCTGAAGAACGCAGGGACAGTGCCAAGTCCAGAGTTCAAGACCCACAACCGACCAAAAAACAACAACAACAAAAAAAAACAGCTCACCCTGGTGTGGAATATTAATGTTTACCCTAGAAGTGTATGTATTTACTATAGATTTCATATTCTTATAGAGTATATTTCATATCACTTAGTGAGATACTAGTACTCAACAATCTGACTTATAAATAATCAAAGCAGTCACCTTATTTTTCTCTAAAAGGACAAGAATCCTAATGAAGCCAAGGCAGGTAGTATTTGAAACCAAAATAATCAAACTGAAGAGACAGCAGTACTACTTGACAACCTGAGGAAGACCATCAGTAACACGTAAAGAATATAATTGTAATCTAGCCCACAACTAAAGAGCTTTGGCCCAGCTTAAAGGTGACAGCATTATTCTACCCACTACAAATGCGTTCAGTGCAGTTTCTCCTTGAGAACTTCCTCTTGCCCTCCCCCACCCCCAACCACCACCCATGTTCTCATTGTAAGGTGCTTTCCTAGCCCATCACCCCTCATCACACAAAAGATGCTTTTGATTCCCTTTTTAATTCCATTCCCATTGGCCCTTTTGGTCCCAATGAACCAGAAGGTGAACCAGTGTCTGCAGTGTGGGCAAGGGACTTTGTCACTGCTCCCAGTTCTTAGGGAAATGTCCAAATGCTTTATTTCTTTAACACAAAGCAATCTTGCAAAGATACAAGGGTGTTCTGTCTGTAGGTCTTTCATTTAACAAGGATTCGTTCAACTATCAATACCCCTATTATGCACAAGGCACTTGGAAGGGTATGGATGCTAATAAAACCAGTCAATCCACTGAAGTCTTGACGATCATATTCTAACTCATCTAAGGATGAGTTAGTATCCTCAAACGCCTGCATTTTTTGTGTGTGGAGAAGGGCTGGTGATGGAATGGAAAGGAGAAAAACTAAAGGAAAATGCCAGGTAATAATAAGCATGGTGTGAAGAACCATTGTGGGAGAGAGCAAGTAGGAGGCCACGTTGCAAAAATGGATGGTCAGGAGGGATCTCTCCCTGGAAGTGACAATGACATTGCCATCTGAATGGTAGGGAAGAGCCAGCAAGTGAAAAATCAGCTCGCCACTCTGGGTCCCTTCCACACAAAAGTCTTGTTCTCCCCTTCTGTGTAAGTTGCCCTTAGCCCCTTACGCATCTCGCCTCCCATTTGTGCACCTTCAGCCAGAATTTTCTGTAGATTCAGGAAACAAGTGTGTTTCTTTTCATCTCTCATCTTACTCTTGTACCTTTCATTAACTTTTTCTTCTTCGAGTCACTAATACCTAATTATGTATGTCCTTTTTTGGTGTGGGCTATGCAAAAGGAAGAGAAGAAAAGAAAGCCTTTCAAAGTCTCACTGGGAAAGAGGAAGGGGAGAGAAATGCAAACAAGAAACAAGAAGGTTTCTGACTTTTGGAATGTGGCTCTTGGTGACACCAGTTGCTGTCAGGCACTTCTAGTACATTCTAGTACATATTTTTTTTTTTTTGGCAGTCATAGGGCTTGAACTCTGGGCTTGGGTGCTGTCCTTTAGCTCTTCAGCTCAAGGTGAGCACTCTGCCACTTGAGCCACAGCACCACTGCCGGTTTTCTGGTGGTTAATTGTAGATAAGAGTCTCATGGACTTTGCTGCTCGGGCTGGCTTTGAACCGTGATCCTCAGATCTCAGCCTCCTGAGTAACTAGGATTACAGGCGTGAGCCACTGGCGCCCGGCCTATCTCTAGGTTCTTGTCTGATATCATTTAGCATCTTCTTTTTGACAAAGAGATAACACATGACTGTGGCATAGGGCAGAGATTTTTTTTTAATGAATTTAAGCAATTTGTCTCCTTTCCCTAAATATAACCCATTGAAGAATCCCAAAATGCAAAACAGATAAGGACATATCTTGCACTGAAAAGAGCTGGAGATAATGTATCGGTCTTTCCTCCTCTCTCTGCTCTGTAGCTGCCTCTAAAGCAACCTGAAGAGCCAGGGCTGGGTAACTTTCCCATCCTGGGCAGTTCAGGGTCCTGGAGCAACCGGGAGAAGCTTGTGCCTCAGGATGGAGCCTCACTATTCACCCAGCCACAAGGCTTCCCACACAGGCTATGGAGAACAGAACTCCCACAAACTTCCCTGCATCCTGAATGACTTGGGGAAAGGGACTTCCTATTAAAGGCTATTAACAGAGACAGCATGATACACAAATGGTTACCTTGCTTCTCTCCAATTGTATCACAGACATTGGGGCTTTGTTCAACTTTATGTTCTTTCTGAGATCAGTAAAAATGAAATATTGTATTGTGAACATAATTAGATTTTATAAACCCAGGGGTTGTCCAATCCCACTGCTGTTTATCTTTTTATGAAGTAATTATACCAATTATTGGAGGCAATGCTTTAATGTGAATTGTTACCCACTTGGCAGACACTATTGACTTAAAATAAAAGAAGTGATTAAAAACAATTTATGGATCTCTCTTGGGTAAAAGTATGAAACCAATATAAAATAATTGGATTCTGATTCATGGAATGGATTGTGAATAACTGTGGATGCTGTACTTAAAGTAAAATGACAAAGAACTCTAGCAAAGGTCTGATAGAATGTTATTGGAGCTCTTTCCTGCTGCTAAAATTATACCCATTAAATCTCAATTATGTTTCATCTTAGGGCTGATTCATGCATTTTGCTAATTCCACTTGTCAATTTAGGATAGACACTCTACATTTTGTGTGCATGCATGTGTGCATGTGCGTGTATGTGTGTATGTGTGTGTGTGTGTGTGTGTGCAAGCGTGTGCATGTGTGCCAGTAATGGGACTTGAATTCAGGGACTTAAACTCTTGTTTAGCTATTTTGCTGGTGCTCTGCCATTTGAATCACAGTTCCACTTCCAGCTTATTGGTGGTTAATTGGAGGTAAGAGTCTCATGGACTTTCCTACCTGGACTGGCTTCAAATCTGCAATCTTTATATCTCCTAAGTAGCTACGATTACATGTGTGGGCCACAAGTGTCTAGCTTTACCTTTTCTATCTAAAATTTCCGTCAGTTTTTCTGAAGATGCATTTCCTTCATCTATTGAGAAACCCAAGTTATTATCTAATCCTCATAATTAGCATTTACCAAGAAAGCAAAAACTTAATCTGTTGCCCAATTGTATGAGGGGAAAAAAATCTCAGCAATACTAAGCTATGCCGTTGTGTTGGAAAAATAATTCTTTCCTAAGATAACTATTTCAAAACTTCAAAACAAATAAAACACTGTTTTAACCATAAGGGCAAACTTAAAATTAGTGACTTTGTCAGAGCACAGGAAGGAAATCACAAATAGTCAAACTCTGGAACCCGTGTGAGTTACGGAAGTCAATAAACCTTGCCGTTTTCTTTCTGGTCACATCCTGCCTGAGAATTGCAGTAGATGAGCCCAGGAAAGAATGCAATGGTAAACTAAAGAGAAAGCATGC